ATACATCCCTCATTGGCTACGTTACCTGTCAAACGGCAAAACCGTTAACCATCTCCGTGACACAGGGACCTCCTCGAGCAATTCAACAAAAAAACCCATGCTCTGAAGAAATGTTCCTAAATCCAGCCACTGCATCCTGTGTTGGCCAAAAGCAATACACATACCGTTACCAAAAAATCTGCTGTATGGTCAATTTTAATATTATACTCGTATCTCTCCACGAAAATGATTCTTCCAAGTAGACTTTAGGGTTCGAAATGAAAAGTTGTATGGAGTTATATTTGGGTCGAAGTTCACCACTTAATCATTTCTTGTTTTGAAATGTGTAAAGTGAAAAGGACAAATTCATAATCTCCTCCAGCAATTACATTAGTTCACAAATCGTCCTTCATAACTCGTATCACTGGTACAGTGTCTTTCCCAATGGCAGCAAACATTTGTCGTTGGACTAGTAGTAGTCGTAGTAGTAGCAGTAGTACGAGGGAGAGTCAGTAAATAGGACGCAAATTGATATAAAACATAAGACATGCGATATTCGAACGTGGAAAAGCATTTGTTTCTCGACATAGCCTCCATCAGTATTGATACACATCTCCCAACATTTGATCACCGAGTCGAAATCCGCAGCATGGAAGTCTTTGACTACTGTCTCAGTCACTTCCGCACTTAGTCGAGCATGTTCTCAGATTTTCGAACGTCCTTGAGATAAATACTCGACCTACGGTAAACAGGAAGCATTTCTTTGTGAATATACTTTGCATTGGGTCCTTTTGCAAAACAAAACGCCCGTGTTCGATAGTACAATCCTCAAGTAGGGTCGACATTTTCACTACTGAAACCAGCCTCTGAACATGCGCTGGCGCGTATTATGAAGCGTGACTCTGCTGCTACCTAGTGTTAGACATGGAAAATTTATTATATCCATTAGAGCTGCTCTACTTCGGATTGTGAACTATTTACTGACTCTCCCGTGTACTTCTGTGATAAAGCACACCAATATTATTACTAAAAACCTAAGCCTGTATATTCGTACTGCAGAGGGTTGAAATATGTTTTCTGTTATTATATGGCAACAAATCAAATTCTGTAATTCTGCACTGAGGGTACAAACGAGGAATGTTTTAGTAAGATGATTGTGGGGTTCTGTGAATTTTTCCAGAGTGTCAGCCCTGGTGGTGTCGAGACTGAAATAATGGAAGCTTCTGAAATTCCAAAGGACGTGTTGGAAGGTTTCAAAGACATGCCTTGTCTAAAATCGAAGGACATTGCAGATTCCGTGATCTACGTACTTGGAACACCACCACATGTGCAGGTGAGTACACAGTACTTCAATATACAGCGTGATTCTAAATAATTTTTTATTCTTCCGTGGAATATAATTTGTAACCCGGAAAAGCAAAACAAAACAAAACAAAACTGCTTATGGAATATGTAGGTGTAACTAAAAGAGTGTTATTACTTATAGAATCTATACTGCAGAATGCTAACAACTTCAACATGCGCGCCTTTCGTCGTACACACGATAACGAAGCTTCCTGGATTCCAGCAACGCCTTACTGGGTAGTGCTCGGCCCTCTCCCTTCTTCGCGGGGCAGAACACAACCAGGTTTTTGAAATTGCTTTAACCAACGCCGAAGGTTGCACTGATAGAGGGTGGGTCTTTTTCCGTCTTGAGTTCTGTAACAACCTTGCCGTGTGATAACGCACTTCGTTTTGAAAACCCAGTATATGAGATATGACGTCATACACAATCCCAGACATCAATGCTAACAAACTGCTTGAGTTACACTTTCATATTCCCCAAACAGTTTTATTTTCTTATTTCCGGTTTAAAAATTCCCCAGTATATTGCAACGGAAACGACGACAATGGTTTGGGACATCCTATATAAACTGCGCCGCCAAATCGAGCCTGCTAGTGCCAGCCCAAGACAAATTCGTGGCCTGCGTGCCTGTGCATACAGTATGTCTACTGTACAGATGCAACGTAACTGCATTTTGCATATCAAAACGTCGATAAAAGGCCCAAATTCCCATATTGTGACACCCCGATATGGCAGCGTATGATATCAGTCCCCAAGACATGGAGTAATGGGGGTTATATACACCTCACACTCAGGTCTCATGTCTTCAGCATCAGTCTTAAACACTTCACAAATACGAAGTGATTCTACATTATTGTCGAGGTTTCCGTGGCCTATACTATTCAAACCGGAAGCAAAATATAACTGCGTAGGAATATGAAAGCGTAACTCAAAATGTTTTATTTGGCATCGCTGTACTCGCCGCATTGAAGTTTAGGAGAAAATATGACGTCACACCTAAAAATGGCGACTGTTCAAGAGAAAGCAAGGTGCGTACTTCGGTTTTTCGAAACGAAGTCCGTTATCAAAACGAAACGTCGTTACAGAACTCAACATGGAAAAGACCAACCTTCAGATGATGATATCCGACGTTGGTTAAAGCAATTTCAAGAGACTGGCAGTGTTCTGCACAGAAAAGGGGAGGGAAGACCGAACACTTCACAGGAACATGTTGATCGAATCCAGGAAGCGTTTTCTCGAAGTCCACAAAAATCAACTAGACGAACTTCTTTGCAGTTACGTATACCACAAACGATTATTTGGAGGATTGTTAATTCTTTAGATAATAAACTTTTCATATTCCATAAGCATATTTATTTTATTTTTCCGGTTTGAAAATTATAGGCCATGGAAAATAATACAGAGTTGCTCTGCATAATATTCGGGTTCCATTACCATCTGCTGAGTACCTGAAGTTTTTTCAAATTCGTAAAAGGAAAAAAAAAACGTGTAACATACAAACTCACTCTCTCACAGTGTCTAGGTTCAAGACAAAGTAATTCTTCTTAACTTTCAGATCCATGAACTGACCATAAAACCTGTTGGAGAAATCAACTGAGAACAAGTAAGAAGAGACATAAGATATTTTGAATGAATACCGATTCAAACTGACTCTCGTGCGTCGCTCTCTCTTCAGCAAGCTTCTCCAGAGTCAGCAATGTTTCCGTGTCCGTAACAATAAAGCTACTTTACATAAGTAAATATACACTGCCTTAACTTCCTTGAAAAATACACACACTTACCCTTCATTATGCAGCGAAGCATGGACACAGACGGCAAAACATTTACATTGGAAAAGTTTCCTAATGCAGCAGCAACAGCTACTGATCCAGTAAATGAAGATATAAAGACTTTGGGGTGCCATGCAGATGAGATGGTTTTACCTGATGTACCAGGGAAATTTGCATTAGGCCAACCCCCTTACAGTAATATCGTACAACTTCTGTAAAAATGAAAGTGTTCGAGTAAGTAAAGTGAAATGAAACACGCCGTGTATATAGCAACGGTAAGTTGCACATCTGCTGCACCTTTATGGAACTTCTCGTATTGCGTTTGTTGGTCATTTATAGAATTCACATAGGAAGCGAGTTGAAAGGCACAACAGATCACTGTGGTCGCGGTGCAAGGGCCAAGAAGGCCAACCCCTTATGCATTCACAATCAAGTAGATGCTCTATTCAAAAGAAGACAGTGTAAAATGGAATGCAACTACAATTAATTAAACATATCTGACTAACTTCATGGAGCTGAGCCCTTCTTGAGAAGCCGCCACTTATGCAGGTACTCAAGAACTCTTGATCATTGTATTGAACCGGAATGATAATTACCATGTTCCCAAGAGCCCTCCACTAATCCTACTCTGAGCCAGATCAATCCGGTCAATACCACCTCATTCAATCTCTCTTACAACCATTTTAATACTATCCAAACATCTACGTCTTCGTGTGCCTAGTTGTGTCCTTTCTTCTCGCTTTCCCACCAATATCCTATATGCATTCCTCTCCGCCCCGAATCTTGCTATATGTCCTGCCCATCGCATCCTCCTTGGTTTCGTCATGGAAAAGAGTACAAGTTAAGAAGCTATTCACTGTGCACTTTTCTACAAACTTCCGTCACTTCATCTCTTTCCCCTCAGCTCCCTGTTCTCAGACATCCTCAGTCTGTGTTCTTCCCTTTATGTCACAGCCCAAGTTTCACACCCATACAGGACCACAGGTATAACTGTAGTTTCAGATCCGTGAAGTGACAATAAAACCAGTCGGAGAAACATTCTGAGGCGATATAAGAAAATGGTGTCGTCATTTTGAATGAACAATCATGCAAAGCAACAGTTAACTAATGCCCTGTATTGAAAGAGCCTCTCCAGAATCAGCAAAAGTTTTCGTGTCATGTGATCGCAACGAGAAAATAAAGTCATATTAAAAGTTCTGCACGGCTTAACATTCTTTGCAATAAAGCCTCACCTTTGTTTTAAATAAACTTATGCTCAATTAAAAAGTGAAACGGGGAAAAGGACTTGAAAAAGTATCGAACACCCCAACGAAAAAGCTAAATNTATATCGAACACCCGAACGAAAAAGCTAAATTTGGAGGGACAATGGCCGTGAAAAGTTGTTACTATTTAAAGGACTTCTTAATTTTCTGAATATACGAGTATAACAAGAAGATGTTTTATCGCCACTGCGTTTCATCTTTGCTTTAGAATATGCCATTAGGAAGGTCCAGAAAGACCAGGCGGGACTGAAATTGAATAGGACGCATTAGCTGCTAGCCTATGATGATCACTAATCAGTGACTGAGGTTAGCTCTTCTAGGTGACCCGACAGAATAGATGTCTCTCCCTAACCTAAGGACGTAAATAGATCCAGTTTCAGAAACGTTGTGCTTTGTAGTGTTTAGAATACCGCGCAACGGGCAGGGTCCGGAAACCCAGTAACTCTGAATGTTAAAAACACTCGTCAAAACCCTTTAGAGTCTATCTGGATAAGGTTAGAGCTTTCTTCGCACTGTAAAACTGGTGTAAAATTCTTTACACTTTTTGTGCTAAATTTGCATTGTCAATTAAACCCGTTCAGCGCATGCGCCTCTTACATAAAGTTGCGCAACTCCAGATGGTCACTGCTATCTCTACATGACATTCACTTATTCTCATGAAAACTCGAGTGATCTCACGTAGCGACAAAGTAGCACCACAGCAAAGGGCCAGACCGCTCTCCCTGTCTGAGAGGTAAGAAATTTTTTTTAATTATTGGGGTGTTCTATCCTATTTCAGTAAGAGGGCTAATGGGGGGAGGGGCAGAATGTCTGTTACAACAGAGTGAAGGGTTATTGACGGAAGAACACCGCAGGATACGCAGCAAATATATGAGAAAATATAGAAACAATGTGATTATATTGAGGCTCTTTTTATGAGTCTACTCTCCTTATTTTGGAAAAATAAAACTAGGCTTATGCGATCACCATACTGCCTGCCTGTATGTGTGTCTGTGTATGCCACCTATCAACATCTGAATGACTGAACCATTTTTTATGAAACTTGTCATGTATATCATGGCACGCGAACCCATGTCAACGGAGTACGTCGTCTCACCAATCTGTATGTCTGTTTATGTGTGTATTCCACTATCGTTTCTAAGCAACGGCTCGGTATAAACAATACCACGGCAAAGAATACACGCGAAAAAAATAAAATATTATCTCTTATATCTCTTATATCTGGTCCGCTATAACGAGGGACTACTACTGTATTAACACTGCCAGGCACACGGGGAAGGATGCAACTGGATAGTAGCCAAAGGTGTGATGGTTCGTACTTGATTCACCTGGGACGGAAGTAATGGCGCACAATATTATACAGTCTAAGCGAAAAGAAATTTCTTGAAGAGCTTCTCAATAGCGACTCTGCTCCATTAAGTTAATCAGGAACACGTTACGTAAGGCGTATCATTTTGAAGGAAAGTAACTTGATGTTTCATTATGTTTAATGTCTAGAACGTAAAATTGGGGATCATGTAAGCCTTAGCTATTTCATTCGTTCATTAATGGCTGTACAGCCCTTTGTTGGAACCCGGCCTCTTCTTCAGTTTCGTAATCTTTTTTGCACAGATTGTAGCACTCCTTGGACGAGTAATCAGCCCGCCCCAAGGCCACTACCTACAAACAGGACAACGCATACACATAGCAAACGCACACAAAGATATCCATCCCTTGAATGGGAATCGAATCCACGGTCCGACTGTTCGAGTGAGCGAAGACAGTTCACGCCTTAGACAATGCGGCCACTGTGATCGGCAGACTTAGGCGTGTATTACGTACATTAAAAGAAATAAACTCTGTTGATTCATCCGGCCAATTTTCTAGTTAATCGAATTAAGTTAACGACAGTTGGACACTTAGACAGGAGAGGGGAAATGAATGGATACATTATTTGGAAAATGACAACTGAATAACCAAGGAGGAGATGCAAGAAGAGAATATGATGGATATTAGGAGACTCTGCATGTATTTTAGGACGTGAAGTGGACACAGATCCCTCCAGAACATATTTACTTGCGAGTACTCGTGTAAGTGACGTTATTTAGTAACGAGGCAGTTATTAGTTGGTTCCAATTATCGTATAATTTCAGATCATGATAAAGACACGCCTACCTCTATCGAAACAAGAATATAATCTTACAAACGGAGCGTAAAACTTCCTAATATTTCTAGGTTCAGAAGAGCGTTTCATCGAAGAAGTGAAGTTACCTCAACAATGGAGCGTTGGTCAGGGCGTGTTGCGGTGGTAACAGGAGCCAGTGCTGGGATAGGAGCAGCCATTGCTGAAGAACTCGTGAAGAAAGGACTCAAAGTGGTCGGACTGGCACGCAGAGTGGAGAGAGTTGAGGTGAGGTGCAATTAATACTGTCGCGTATTTTGGGTCGTGACTAATAATAATGGATTCAAGATTTGATGATTGCATTTATTAACACAATCACTCTTAAACACAAACAATTTACAATAACTCACAATCCCCCTTCTAAATCTGCCTTCACTAGCAGTTGCTTGAAACGGGTCTCAACAATGGACATCCTTCAGCTTCCGTGGTCACTCTGTTGACCGCTGATTAACACTCCACAAATGAGCTCTCGAGGGAATTCAACTGCTGAACTGAACTCCGAATTATTTTTCGCCTCTCGTCATATAAACTGCGTGTTTACGCACAATTTTCCGTCAATAATGCAACTATTTAGTTCTTCATTCACATTTGCTTTCTCTATTAACACAAGTTTCCGCCACGAAGCGGCCATTCTCAGGTGTCCCATTATGCCAAAACTGCTACGCTGCACTGAGTATTGTCCATTCCACACGCGTAACTAAATATTTTAGAGGCCGAGCCATAGCTCAAGCTATTAGTTGCTGGCTTTCCACCGCGGCGGCCCGGGTTCGATCCCGAGTCTGGTCAAGTGTGATTTGTGGTGGTCAAAGTGGCGCTGGGGTAGGTCTTCTCCGAGTACTTCGGTTTCCCCTGCCAATTTTCATTCCATAAATTGCTCCACAACCACCCTCACCTACCATCTCGGGCTGGTACAATAGGCCAGAAGTGGCCGCAGTACAAGGGAACTACATATTTCGTAATTAAAATGTTACAAATACACTCATCTGCTGTGCATTAAATCTTATATGTTACAATTCACTCCATTTAAAATCAATTAGAGATCATTAAAAATTTGTACTTATATAAAACTCTTAACTCCACCTCCTATGGGGCGTCGTCCACTTGTCTAAGCAATATACCCTTCTTCGGTTGTTTACATTGCTTAGTTTTTATTTATGTTGCACTCACATTTTCTATAAATTTACAGGACCTGGCAAATTCCATCAAATCGGCAACCGGGAAGTTATACCCACTGAAGTGTGACGTCAGCAAAGAGTCGGAGGTTACGGAAGCCTTTAAGTGGATCAAGACTACACTGGGAGGAGTAGACATCCTCATCAACAGCGCCGGAGTCGGATCCCAGAGCAGTCTTACAGGTGATACACGTTTATCATGAAACATCATCGTCTGAGCCTGATTACTACGAGTATGTTCAATGTCAACAGCTTCGCGTTGCAGCAAAGCAGATCTCTGCATCTGTGTGTCATGAGACTTACGCTGCGATGTGGGTGATTTCTTGGTGGGATTCATGAATGTTGTCGGAACTTCTGTGACAATTACAATATCCTGCCCTATATTAATACAGCTAACTAGTCTGTAAGACACTGGGGCTCTCAGAGCGCTCTATCCAATGGGTACCGATGGCACTTTCCGGGGTTAAAGCGGAAGGGACGTGAAGATGAATACTCATCTTAATCTAGTGCCATGGTCAAGAATGGTGGAGCTATACCTCCGCTCCCCCATATGTCTTCATGGCACCGTGCTCAACTAATTAAGGACAGGGGCAATTTACCTTACTTCACAGAATTACTTGGGTTTTGGACTTTTTCCATCGTCCGGTATTCTATAAAATACTAAACGCGATGTTTCGGAAACTGGATCTGTTTCCGTCCTCAGGTGACGGAGGGGAAAGACACCTGCTCAGTTGGGTCCCTTAGAAAGAGCTAATCTCAATCACTGGACAAAAGCTGTCAGATTTACACAGCTATTTAATCACCTGAGACCAGGCTAATTCGGCGGGAGGTAACAAGAAGATATCCAACACAAATTGTGGTAGAGCATGCAGATGAGTGGAACTAAGACAGAAAAGGAGTTAGAGCCCATTAGGATTTACCTTGTATTGTATTGTATTTAGAGAGGGTGGGTTTCCCCATGCACTTACACCAACTGTTGGTCCATTGTGCGTCCCCCTATCATATTCTACCAGTCTCTATTCCCTACCGGTACTGGTGCGTGCCATCAGTCCCGACTCAGCCAGCGAGTTCGGCCTCTACTGGCTCAGCGGTATCTCGATGCTTCCCCCATCTACCAGAGGCGTTAGAGACTACTGTTGGGAGGGAAATGTCCTGAATTTGGCCAGTGGTCCCCTTGGGACATGAGGTTCTTTTACGTGCCGTAAAGCTACGACACGGGACCCACGGATTAAAATCCTCCCGGAGGACTTGTTCCCTGAATTTTTCCGCCCTTAAGTCACGAGGTGGGAACGTTACCCCTAGACTACGGAGGCCGCTTGGGATTTACTTGTCTGAAGTTTTCATCAAGAGTCTAGCTGCCCAAGACAGCCTGGCACAGACTGCAGAGTCAATGAGGAAGTTGCTTCTCTTGGTAATGAGGCTCACAACAGGACCAGTAAGTTGGCCTCTTTATTATTATTATTGTGTTTAGTAGGGTCAGACTTTTTCCACTTAGTTTTGCGGCCTATTGTACCAGCCCCAGATGATGGTGACTGTGGAACAATTGGTGGAATGAAGATTGGAAGGGGAAACCGAAGTACTCGGAGAAAACCCGCCACAGCCCAACTTTGTCCACCACAAATCCCACATGACCAGACCCCGGGCTCGAACCCGGGAAGCCGAGGTGGCAAGACAGCGATGAAATGTGATACAGAGAGAATTATGGCAACAATTTTCAGAAAGGCGTATGCTAGGAAAATCACGAATATCATTATCTAACGGCTCTTTTCACCGGTCGTCTGAGGGAGAATGGAGGGCGCCGCGTCTGAAGCCACTTATAGCCGTTCTGTTGTCCACGTGTCACACTACTTCACTGGCTGTAGAACTCACCTTTATCCTTAGCTACTTCTCCTTTGTAGATGTTGAACTGACTGTTTGGGAAGGCTGGAGGACTAGTTTGGGTGCCAGTAGTCAGAAGGTGGGGTGACTACAACTCAGGTTGGAATAGGTAGTGAGGTCGGTAACTCAGGGTTGGGCCTGGAAGAACGGGATGTATGTCTCTGGGTCTTAAAGGGCCTTGCTCTAGCAGGGCAGGAGGAAGGCGCACGCGCACTTCCGCACAATGAAAGCAATGATTGGTGCTGAACTGGGGTTTCTTAAACAGCACTGGCTGTTTAAGTTGAATTTAAGGTCGAAATTTGCATTATGATCTCGTAATGATTTAGCATAAACGCTCGTCTAATACGTTAATTTAGAATTTCTGAGACGCGCAGATTTTGCGTCCGAACGTTTTGAAAGCCGGAATCAGAGTCCCTTGGGGAACTTGCCTGCTCTCATGAAGCGAGCTTGTCACATCCCTCAGCTTCCCTCTAAGGAGCCTCCCCTAAGCGTGCCTTATTGGTCTGGTTTACAACTTAGGAGGTCTCCAAAATTTTGAATCTTCCAATTAACGAAAGTTGCTACACGATTTTGACTCTTAAGACACCAGCTCGATGAATTACGATGATCGTGGCTTCTGTACGTGGGCTTCCTTCCTGATATTTATGGCTCAGCTGAGATGTCAGATGTCGGATTTCCAAAGTTCTGCCCTCGAGTCAAACTTAAATACAAATTTCAGCAAAAGCTCAGATGTCTACATCCTGTTCGCAGAGCAAGAATGGCCAGAAGAGAGATTCTAAATGCAAGAATGGGAATATCTCCCATTACGTAGACCTCACAACATTTAGTTCAAATACAGTTTCTAGCAATTATGGGACTCCAAATTAATGAGCCGTTACAATTAAGATTAGTCTTGCGATTAAATACTATGTGGATGGGCATCCCGGGTCTGGTCAAATGGGATTTGTGGTGAACAAAGTGGCGCTGGGGCACGTTTTCTCCGAGTACTTCGGTTTCCCCTGCCAATCTTCATTCCACCAATTACTCCACAATCACCCTCACCTATCATCTGGGGCTGGTACAATAGGCCAGAAGTGGCCGCAGTACAAGGGACTTAGTCCCAGCCCACTAGCAATAAAAGAAAATGTGGATGGGCGGGAGTTGGAATCGACTCAGAATCGCGTACAAATATAGACTTTGGTGTTATCGGTATTGAACCTGTGGACTCTGCTGTCATTGTACTAGCTTCTTTATGCACATCATGTTCTGTATTCAACAGATGGACCGGTGGAGAAATGGAGAAAGATTTTCGATCTCAACGTGCTGGCTCTCAGCGTGTGCACCAAAGAAGCGCTCCAGTCCATGAAGGAGAAAGGAGTGGACGATGGGCATATCATACATATCAACAGGTTCGTGAGGAAAATTAAGACAGGTTAGAGGTTACCAAACCATGGGTCGCGAACTCATTCATGACACAAAAGTATGCCAAAGGATTCTTCGCAGCTGCTATACTGTCACGATTTAGGGGTGTGACTATAGACGGGGTATGGACTGGTGAATGGACTTGCACACACCACTCGGTACTACAAGTAATTATAGCGATATCGCTACTATCCACATTTTACAAATCACCATAGAACCCGCTAAGCTTTGTCCCGCCTGTTGTGTCTTAACCAGCTCTTTCCTGGCAACGGCTTCTAACAGTGGAAATTCTTCAGCTTCCTGCTCTCAGGTCCTATCTTCACAGCCGCCCGTACAGAACACTATAGCGCCATATCTTATCAGCCTTCCTTGTATAGCTCGACTCAATTGCCACCCTACCTAAACACACTCAGAGTCAGAGTCAGAGTCAGAGTCAGAATTAATTTACGGGCGGTTTACCGCAAATCAATTCGTTCTGTTGTCAAGCCCCTTGAGGATCACGACCAGAGACTTTTTTAGCTGAACCCTTACGATCATAGTCCTTATGTAACATCCTCTCCGATAAGAGAATGGGTCTGTAATTTAGGATTATTGTTGGTCCTCGCCAGCATAGTCATTCTTGGATCCGTGTCCCTCGGGGCTCACACCATATTCTACTCTCTCAGATTCGAGACCCATCTAATTTGGAGAGCCAGGTCCCAGCATTTATATTCCCCAGGAAGAGAGTGGCACTGGGTTCCCTTTTCGTCGCCTCCCGCAACTCGCAGGGCTAGGTGAAGTATTCGAACCCGCCTCCACACGGGCTGAACACTCAATTCTCTGTGGTCCTCGTTATATAGCCTCGAAACGGATCCAACAGCAGACACCGACCCCAACAGTCCTTCTGCTTTTGTTATGGGCTGTTGCCTAGCGATAGGTCGGATATCGTTTATATGTTTACCGGCAGTTACCAAGCAACGGCCGCTGTTTACAGAGTCGTCGCCTAGCAACGGGTCTATACGCAGCAATATAAAAGCAAATACACAAACATAAATTATGATGTTCTAGTTTATATTTCTTCGTTTATAAAAAATTCAGGGTAATGATGGAATGGATGACGGAAATTTACAGAAGTCTTAAAAAAATTACTCATTATGAACCATTCATGATACAGAATACACTTGTTGAACATTTGACACAATTTAAACACTGTTATCTAATCTTTTCAAAGTTTGCGAACACTGATACAATATTGTATACATTCCGATATCCCGGAGTGTCACTCCAGCCAATGAAACGCTACGTCTATTACTAACGTAGGTTACATTCGTGCAGCCATGCAAGACGAAGGCCAGATAAAGTGAATTTCTGCATGTAAAGACGGGAGAAACGTGATGCTGAATTTGCAAAGAACGCTGGTTTGCCTCTGATATTTCTCAAGCAGACGAATTGATGGAAGACCATGTCTAAGAATAGCTCAGAGAAGCCTGACGTTCTAAGTAATTCCATCACTTAATCTGGTATGTTTCTGTTCCACATCAAATAGCATTGTTGGGCACGGACAAATTTCTCATCCCGGTCTACACATGTACTCTGCCTCCAAACACGCGGTCACAGCGCTGACAGAGGGACTCCGACGGGAACTGGTCCAGCAAAAGTCTAAAATCCGTGTTACTGTGAGTATAGCATGGCACAGCAAGGTAATTTGTGCGTAATGATGTACTTCTGTCACGCCTAATTAGGATTTTCATATTTTCAAAGAATATTCGTATCCATCAACCAACTAAATGGCCCACTAAACAAGCAAACGAATGGACGAATATTTCAGTAAAAGGACTGAATAAATAGGTCCCTGACTGTCCGAGTAATTTACAAACTAAGAAACGAACTAAGTTACTGACGAGACAACCACACAGTAAACCATTAAACAAAGAATCATCTTCCTGGCACAGGGTCGTTCTCCAGCTACTGTCCTGCGCCAGTTTAATCCAAATTACTCCTTTACAGTTAATCACCCTTCGGACGAATTTCAATCTAAAAGCTAAAGCTATCCCTGTAACAGGCCGTGGAGAACCACAGGATTATGAGACGTCGAGGTTCCCACATTTTCTAGACATTCGACTCACAGATGGGGATGAGGTTGTCAGCTTTACACACCAGCTCCCTTTACCCCTAGGGAGATTCCTGGTACTCATTTCTGTTAGAGACTGAGTCGACCTCATGGCCATATTGCGGCTGGAAGCATTAGGTTAATTGAAAAATCCAGTAACCTCATTGGTAATCGAACCCGTGACTCTCCGGCTAGTAGCATAGTGTGTCAACCAAAATAGTACTTCTAAGTTGAATCTGATGTCTCGAAGTCAGTGATTTGTAAGAATACGTTTGTGCCCTTAAGTTCGCTATTATACATTGCTTGCCTTATAGGGCAAAATACGAACTGAGAAACTTTTCGATGCGGTTTCCCCATAAATGTGAAACTACAGTGCAGCCGTTACAGCTTGTATGACTTATTGCGACGCTTCATATCGTTGTAACAGTAGTGGTAGTAGCATTGGTGTCGCTTACAGTAGTAGCAGCCGTGTTCTTGTGGCGGCAGAAACCCAAAACTACGGGGGAGAGTCAGTAAGTAGGTCACAACAGGAAGTAAAACAACTGTATGGATATAAGTTCTCTATGTGTATCGCTAGGTAGCAGCACAGTCCACTTTCATGATAGTCTAGGTAGCAGATGCATGCACATGTTCAGAGGCTGGTTTCAGTAGTCATAATGTCGACCGTGCTTCAGGGTGTACTACCGAAGAGCAGCGTTATGTTGTGCATTTTATGTGGGAAAAAGGACTCAATGCAATATATATTAATAAGGAAATGTTTCCTATTTTGAATTGTTTCATTTTGGTCCGTTACACTATCAATCACAAAGTTAATAGAAAGTCCGTCGAGTGTAACAATTTGTAGGTCACTTTTTATTATTATTTCTGCCTTACATGTTTCGGTTTGACACAACCATCATCAGAGGCACTTGCTATAATTATGGAAATACTGTCGCTTTTTTTTTTTGATGTTCACAATTATGTTTGTCGTGTGGACGCTGTTACGATATGTTGACGTGTAAAAGCACAAAACATGCTAAGATAGTTGAGTACACCCTCAAGTTCTCACTTTTCATCCGAACTTATTTTAAGTAAAAACGCTAAAATGTTAAAATATTTGATATTAAATGCTGAACTCCTCCTTGTTAATTCATCCCGAAGATGGGAGACGTCAGCTTGAGGTTGTATGGCTTATGGTTTGATATGTTCCTGTGTGCTGTGTGCTGTGTACTGGCCTATTTCATGACTCTTCCTCGTAATAGGCAAGATTTAGGGTGGCATATTTGTACTCCAGGAAGATGAAATATATAGAAACTTCTCGAACCATACCTTAAGTGTTTTCCCATCATGTGCATCTCCTTCATACTCTCGTCGGTAATTTCTTTGCACTGAAATTGTTGATTTTGTCTCCACATACCACACTACTGTTTGTGCACGCTGCTGTGGATTCGCCATTTTGCTGCATGCGACCGTGGCGCTGCGTAGTGAGCGAAAGGTCAACTTCAAAGTCATGAAATGAAATTCTTTTTGAGTTTTTCTTTCTTTTAGTGTTAATTATAATCCATAATTTATCACAATTTGTTCGCAATGATTGATTAAAATGTGGGAGGACTGAACGGAATACACTGTATTTGTATAACTATATGACGTAAAATATACCTAATTAATTCTGTACCCAGAGTGTAAGCCCCGGTGCTGTGAGAACTGAATTCCCAGAAGCTTCGGACTTTACGGGGGATATACTGGAGTTCTTGAAAGAGATCCCTTTTCTCCAACCCAAGGACATTGCAGATGCTGTGATCTACATACTGGGAACACCCCCACATGTACAGGTGGGTAAACTCTACTCCATGTATAAACTGCGCTGTACAGTCAACCAGCCTACATTGCATTTGGTGTCTCCATCATAAAGACCGTCCAGCTAACGGCGTTTGGGGAAAAAAAAACAACTGACAAATCACAGAACAGAAGGACGTTCATAAAAGTATTTATTGCTTTAAGTGATGAGTTACTGAACGCTGAAGCAGGTCTTACCTATAATTACCAACAAGCTATAAAGAATTAAATAAATGTTTTAGTAATATTTAACGAGAAAATAAGAGAAATAAGGCATAACAGTTATTATTCCATAATACAAGTATACATTACATTAATACAAGGATGTTATTAAAACGAAAGTGATGAGTTTCTCATAAACTGATTTAGTTTATATAGTTTTAAAATAAATGATATTTTATAGTGCCAAAAATAACATACCAAATGATAACTCCTCAAAATCAATGTACGGCCACGTGTTAGAGCGACTATATATGGAGTTTGGATTGGTAATTGGATTTATTGGCCAATTATGGATCGTAATTGCAAGTAACTATAGCAGTCTCACTGAATTACAAGCTCCAAATACAATGTAACCAAAGCTCACATAAAGCCTTCTCCGTCTTCACTATTCGCTTAGTGGTAAAGGATTTTAACACCGTATTTCGATTACGTCCTTATCGCCTGACATATTTCCCGCAACTAAACTCTTATCTTCACAGACTTACTTTCAACTAACTGTGTCCCAGGCTGGCGGCCGTTTCACACCAACCTTCTAGTCTTCTCTTCACAGTCTCACATTCAACCGAGTACTTTTGCAACTTACTACTACTCTGTCCAAAAAGTATCCGACCTTGGGCAGGGAAAACAAAGTTCTGTATCTGGGTGGTTACAATACCTAATCCCCTTCAAAGTAGGCCCCTTGTGACTCCACACACTTAGCCCAGCGATCCTTCCATCGCTGGAAGCAATTCTGGAAGGTTTCTTTTGGAATGGCATGCAGCTACGCCGTTGCGTTGTGTATGACGTGTATTCTTGCTTCAGACTCCGGTACAGAACTGTATTGGTTGCCCCAATTTTGTTTTCATATAACACCGTTTCCAACAGTACCTCTATTGTTGCAGATGCGTGTTTACCGCACCGTTACGTTACAACGGTCGCGGCGTGGATGACAGAAAACACAGCTCTTCTATTGTTGCGTGCGCTACCTAGCAACGGGTCTATATGCCACAGTAAAATATACATATAACAAGAATCAGCGAACTAACCTTCTGTGACTACAAACACGAATACAATATCCTCAAATTGCGCGGACACATTGGTCCGTTGAGGTCAGCCACTTTATATCCTCCATAAGCCGTCAACTCACAAACAGAATTAAGCAGGAGAAACCTTCGGATCTACGCAACTGCCAGTTCAGTCTCCAGTCTTCAGTGTGGCCGGAGCGCTTCACATTATTTCCCATTATGTGCCAGTCGTTGCATCGTCACGATTACGCACGGTCTGCTAAGACGTTCCTAAAAGTGTGTCACATTCGTTACAGAGAGGAACTATTTAAACACAGATGCGTCCCCAGCACAGCGCACCGTGCTGTAATAATCTGCTTTTGTTTCAGGTGCACGAACTTACCATAAAACCCGTTGGTTCACCCTCCTGAGAAAAGACAAAGTGAAGATATTTCCGACAAAGAGTAATGAAAACCAGAATTCGACCAGTGTTCTCTCTGTTCAATCATCAGTTCTTCCACAATAAGTGACGTTTCAGCGTGACCATAACAATAAAACTATTTTGCATAAGTAATGTTATAAGAAATTAACATCTTCTGAAAAAAAAGGCCGTAGTTTTAAGATAATCTTATGGTTTATTAAATTGTGAAACAAGGGCTCGGACATAAAATAATATACTGCACATCCATCCAAATGGCTCTGTAAGGGAACTACAGCATGTACTAGTAGTACAGCATGAGGAGATATACATAATGTGAGACATTTGTGACGAAATGGTGTTCAATGATTTATAAAGTTTGAGCTGATTTTATTGGAGACGAAACTATTGCTAATCTAATTTCTTTGCAATCTATTATTGTAACCGTCTTGTAAAGGTGTAGATTAAAATAAAAAAGGAATTCACATAATAGAAGGTTCTGTTTGATGTGTGCTTGACACTTGGGCCCTCACACCAAGAAAGAAGGTAAGTTGACTGTGACAGATATTTGCTACGGGACCCAACCCTTCACGTAACCTCTCCTCAGGATCCTGGTCCATTTCATACTATCAGAGGACAGAGGAAGCCCAGGAAAACAGTTGGAATAAATGTATTATACTATCGTGAAGAACCAAAGAATTGAAAAACAGTGAGAACAAGGAGGAACCAACCTATCACACTTCACACTGATCTCTCCTTGTCAGGGTTATTAGGATTAATATTAAAGGAATCAATTAAAGGGGAAGTACTCATATAAATGTAATTAAGGACAAGTACTTCAAATCTTCGAGGCTTTTTGAGAATCTTCGTAAAAAGCTTATTTTTTACGGTCAAGAGTTGTTGTTAGCCCCACGCTGGACGACCACCACTTATCAGCTGTCCGCGACTGCTTATTCAATATATTCGCAGCTACTTTTACACCTGGAGGGCGTCTCCTCCATCCTCCGCGCTATGACCTGGTGACAAGTGTCCCAACAAACATTTGACCATATTTTGATAGACAGCAGATGGCATTTAAGTATACCTGATGTCCGATCATTCAGGGCAGCAGACTGTGATACTGACCACTACCTGGTGGCAGAGTTTAGGAAGAGACTGGCAGTGAGCAAACAAACAACACACGGAGTTCATATGGAGAGGTTCAATCTTTAGAAATTAAACGAGGTGGAGGATAAGGAGGAGTATCGTGTTGATATCTCAGACAGGTTCACAGCTTTGGAAAACTTAGACAATGAGGTGGATGTTAATAAAGCTTGGAAAACTATTAGAGATAAGAATGACGTTTTCTGGGATGTGGCGCCGTGTAGATATTATGTGAACTGACGTTTCGGAGAAACGCATCGCCTCCACCTTCAATGTAGAAAAACCCGCGAGAGAGGAATCAGCGTGAGCAGATGGCTGCAGACCGTTTTCTGTTTTGTAATGCCCATAACAAGTTTCACTAGGTCTGATGTTAGAAAGGATGATGATGATGATGATGATGATGATGACGGTGATTTCGAGCAAACTATAAATAGATGAAAATATTCCATATTAAGATAGGCAGTTCTGAAATCGATAAAGAACTCCATGTCCCTATCAGAACAATGTATACAACAAACACGAAATGAAGTCCTCTTATTTGAAGTTTATTTAACAATGCTGTATCATGTTCAATGACAGGATGATATAACGAATTGTTAAGGATGTGGACGGAAGGATTCATGATCTAATGTGAGGCACTACTGTCCTGGAAGTACCGAGAGAAACCAGGGAAAACCTCAGTCAGGTCACTTGGTGTCCAGGACGAAAAACAAACCGACCATCTCCCAAATACAGCTTAGAAGCTTTATCTCTTGAGCTGAGATAGCTCAGTCACTATAGCGATGGACTGGACGGCCGGTTCTATTCCCAGCAGGAGCAAGATTTTTTTCTCTACTTCATATCGTCCAGACCGGCTCTGGGGACCATCAAACCTGATATTCATTGGGCACCGGTGGCTCTGTCCCCTTGGGTAAAACGGAAGGGGAGTGAATATGACTAGTCACCTCAAACTAGTGAAGAGGTCAAGAATGTTAGAGCTTCATTTCAATTGCCCGATACATCTTCATGGCTTGGTGCTTAATTATTTAGGTACAGAGGACAATTTTGTCTTTATCTTTCCCTCTTGAGCCAAATCGCTCTGTATAAATGAAGCAGATACAAAAAGAATGATGAAAATAGAATATGATACATATCTCTTCTATAGACCAAGAGACACTGTATTTGCATAACTGTACGACCCGATTTGCACATGACGGACTATTTTATAAATGAAATGTTCTCGGGCAATCGTCAGAATCTGACGTCAATGTCGGACTTTTCATCCCGTAAAATTAACTAACTTTTATTTTTCAATGGCTCTTCCAGCTCACTGAGGTCCAAAGCCTCATATTCTGTTCGGAGACCATTTTTCACAGTCGGTAGGACTCCTTGAGAAAGAGATTAGCCTGTCGCAAGGCCGGTACCACACACACATACACCAAACATACATGACCTGCGTGGAATTCGAACCCACGATCCCAGCGTCCGAGCGAGCGAAAAAAATTCACGTTTTACAATACCCGCCTACTGTGACCGGCAAAATTCAGCTGACTCCCTGAAAATACTTCATTCTACTTAGCTGGTGAGAAAACTTCAGGTTATTGACAACTACATTAAACACAATTGTACTCCACTTTAATTTAAGACATTTCTCAACATTATGCAATTCAATGTAATATTATTAGTAACAAACAACGTACAAACAAACTGACTGTTTTGCAGTATAAGCGACATGATAAGATAAATGCTTAAATTTACCGGTCACTACATGACTTGCATAAATATAGTGATGTTTGGACTGCCTGTCCTTGAAAACATAAAGAAACAAGACTTCTGACAAACCATAAGATGTACGCATGCGCGAATGGTGGATACCGACACTAGATCCTGTTATCTGTTGAAGGAAATTCAAACTCATGTATATTACGCCACTAGAAAAAAATAATGCAGTACATTCGTGACACATCAAATTTCTGTCAGATTACATAAATAGATACCAGGAGGCTTCATATTACTCAGCAGCAAAGTCAGATCCACAACTGCAGTGCTGTTCCTTAAGGTGCATTTCGGTACAATGTGAGAGTTACCCTTACGGAGGTATACAACTCTTCTGCGATATAACGCCGATCAGCCCGGTGGAAGTGAACCAACGTTTCGGAGGCACATATCGCCTACATCTTGAGGATACAAGATTAGACCAAGCAGAAAATCTACATGAAGCTGAAAGCACACTCTGCTGAAGATCGAGGCGATATATTCCTCCGAAACATCGGTTAAGTTTCATCGGACTACACGGCATAATACCAGAGGATACAAGTTATCATATCTTAGATTTACATGTTTTGCCTCAGCCTCTTCGTACAAATTCTGAGACAATATCATTGAAAAGGCTAGGGCTGATCCCTTATGCAAATCGTCCAATATCACGCCCTCCATTTCGACGGTTTAATAACGCACGATGTTGAAAATGTGAAGTTCTTAAATAAACAAAAGACCCACTGCTTAAAACAGACATCGATGGAAAATAGTGTTCCATTTCAGAACATTGAAAGATGACAAGAATGTGCCAGCTTAAATAATGTATGTGTTAATTCAAAGATCTTATAACTAATCTAAAACTGTATTAATTTCAGGGAGATTCTATTATAAAAACTAATTACAAGTGACATCAACAATGCAGCGTTGGTCAGGGCGCGTTGCCGTGGTAACAGGAGCCAGTGCTGGGATAGGAGCAGCCATCGCTGGAGAACTCGTGAAGAAAGGACTCAAAGTGGTCGGACTGGCGCGCAGAGTGGAGAGGGTTGAGGTGAGCGAGCACTACACTAACTCAAACTAAGGTCTATGTTTTTATACAACTGCCATATTTACCAGAATATGAGGCACGTTCTTGCCTTTCCCTGTATTTCTAGTATATTTTATAATAAAAAAATTCTACCTTATGGGATATAACACCGTGTAGTCCGACTGGGTTGTGAAATTCTATCAGGCTACATGGCGTCACATCCCAGAAGAAAGTACTCTTCAGAGTAAGCAGCGTAAGAAGTTCAAAAACAAGATATTTTATAATCAGAATTACTGAATTTTTAGTCTGTACATAATCTGGTATTCTAAAGAATAAAGTTTTAAAGATGAGCAGCGACACACTCACAGGGAGTATACGCAGAATAATACGTGAACGGTGCTGAAAACAAGAAATACCCGCTGCAGCACATGTAGACAAGAGCAGGTGTCCCTGGTATTTAAGACTTTAAATTTTGAGCTTTAAATTTTAAACTGTAATTCTAAAATCAAATTGATGAGCGTGTGTTGGCGAGATTTTAAAACAAAACTGACAGGCTGATATTCAGATTTTGGACTGTGTGCAGTGTGACAGCTATGTAGTGAAAAATACACCTGATGATGGCCAATTACGGCCGAAACATGTAGTGTAGAGGAAGAAAAGACAAAGATCTACAACAAAATAAATTGATGCATTCACGACGGCATTTGTATTATTACATATTCTAAAGAATATGACGCTTGAAATCAAGTGATTCTGGTTAGTTCCTTCTAACTGACCCAACGGAGTAGGTCCCCACTCTCAACTGAAAAAGAAAACAGATCCATCTTCAGCAACATTGTGATCTTTAGACTGCTAGGAAGGATGGAGACCGAAAACGCACAATCTACAATGATGTACAACATCGTTACAACATTTTAGAATGTTTATATAATACTCCTTCGCCAGTGAGGTTAAAGGTTCTTTTTAAATTTGACTTCTCAAATTTGCGCAATATACTGTGGAAAACATTTATGTTACACTAAAATCATTTTGACGATGATCTCAGATGATTAATTAAACAGTTATTCTTGACAATTTCTTTATTAAAACTGTCATAAGACAGCTATATTGAGGTCAGAGCCAGGTTTGGCTCTGCTGATGATGGCTTTTGGTAGACGAAACATGTAGCAGAGCCAGACTTGGCACTGACCTCAATATAGCTGTCTTGTGACGGTTTTAGAAGAGAAATTGTATATTATAACACAGCAGGATGCATGAAATGAAAATTATAATTCTGGACTTTTTCAATCGTCCAAATTTATTAAAACCACTAACATTCGGAAGTTGGGCGTGCACCTCACAACACGGAACTCTTCAAAACCACCGCAGAGATATTCTCAAACCGAACATAGCATTAACTTCTTGGTCATTTCATTTACTAATTGCGCACCACACGACTCATACAGCAACCTCTGAAGGATGCAGGCGCCTTGATTAGAATACCCTGCGATCCGTTCTGCAGTCCTCACATCAACGCTCATGCGTGTGTAATTTTTCAGGAAAACGCAAAGTTGCTCCGATCTGAACCAGGGAAGCTGCATCCACTCAA